TGTTATTGTGAAAGTATGCACTAGGACAACATCATTTACCTTTTGACTGGGAAACAAAGGAAAGGAGAAAAGGAGTTCCTGTTTCCTTCAAGCATCCAAATGACCTAAAGACCTCCCATTTGGCCTGGCCTCCTCTGGACCTTTACCACTTGCTCATTTGGGTTGTGGAGGAGAAAAGTATTTAATCTAGGATTAAATTTCTAGGATACAATTCATCACCGAGGGAAGTCAGGGCAGGAACTCAAGGCAGGGAACCCAGAGACAGGAACTGAAGCAGAGCCCATAGAGAAATGCTTTTTACTGGCTTGCTGTTCAGTTCTCTATTTAGCTGACTTTTTTTTTTTTTCATCTTTTAACGGGAATTTTAATATCCTACAGCAAGAAAAAAATATGAAGTGGAATCAATAGTATAAATACATGACTTAGAAAGCACACAATTTTGAAAGATAATTAGTTAAAAAAATTAAGTTTTCTATGTGTCTTATGGAAAGTGGTAGAACAAAGGTACAACTCTTTTAAGTATCTGAATTATAGGAAGAAGAAAGACAGCCCATGGCTCACTGAGTTCCAATATAACGTTTAAAATTCCATACATCGCCAGATGGTGGTGGTGCACGTCTTTAGTCCCAGCTCTCGGGAGGAAGAAGCAGGTTGATTGCTGTGAGTTTGAGATCTGCCTGATCTACATAGTGAGACCCTACTTAAAAAACTAAAAACAAAAAAATTCATATGAATTGTATTTTCCTTCAAGTTGAACTTTAACATACATAGTCATAGCCATATACAGACTATTTTTTCCTAGTAAAAAGTGTTAATGATGTAGAAGTTTGTAAGAGAAATATTTTCCTGTAGTACTTATAAAGTTACAAAGTCTGATAAAGTTTTGCAAATTATGTCAATATAGTTCAGTGCTTCATTTTAATTAGGTCTACTTTAAGTATTTTTATTTTTGAGGTCATAATTAACTACAGTATTTTCTTTTGTGGGCTCTCCAGATCCAAACTAAAACCCTGGCTGCATATCTAACAATAGCTCTAGTACAGAGTTAAGAGACAAATTCTAAAGTCAGGGTTCTAATGCCTGCAGGTAGGCTTCTTAGCTGTGTGAGCTTCAGTAAGTGTATTTACCCCACGTGCCTCAGTTTTCTTATTGCGTGTCACTCATTGATAGTAACTATGAATGCTTGAAGTCTGGTACCTGGAAAATGTCCCCAAATCATAGTGATTATTATCATCAACCATCTGCAGCACCTACAGACTCATGCCCGTGCTTTCTGCAAGAATGGCTGGTGCTTCCAGCAGCCGCTGACCTGTAGAGACTCATGTGGTCTTTGCTGAGTTCTGCTTCCAGGACACAATGTAAGACATAAGTAGTATAAAACGATTTGGAAATTGGAGACTGTTAGAAACTCTGCTAGGGGATGTTCTCTGTGTAAGAGGTTGCTTATTATATTTTATTGGCTTGCATTTGCTTTGAATAAATGAGTGATTTTTGAAGGGATAGATGGAAGAAGGACTAGACATGTGGTTTTCTGGGGTCTTAGGGTTCTGTGTTGGTGACAAGAAAATATCCCTTCAAGAGCACAGGGCTGGGTGTGTGTGCATGTGTGTACTGAAAAGTTTTTCCTAAAGCTCATATGCAAAGTATCAGGAATAAAGCAAGGGCGAAGTTGAAGGGCTTTAATTTTTCTCATCCAAAGCTTATAAGGCTACAGTCAAGACAGTGTGATACTGTCATAATAAGTATACAGATTAATGGAACAAAATTCAGAATCCAGAGATCTTCATGGCTTTTTTCAATTGATATTTAAAATAAAAGAGCCAATGCAATTCACTGGGGTAAAGATAGCATTTCTGGGCTGAGGGAATGGCTCGGCCACTAAACATTTGTTTTTAAGCATGAAGACCTGAATTCAGGCTTCAGAAACCATGTGTAAATACCCAACCTGGTGGTGAGCATTTGTAATCCCAGAGAGGAGGTGAGGCAGGAGGGCTTGCTGGCTGGCTAGTCAGTCTAGCCTACTAGGTGAGCATCTGGTCAGTGAGAAACCCTACCTCAGAGGAGGTGGAGGGTGTTCCGATGACAGGAAGCTGTCATCTAGTTTCCACATGCACACACACACACACACACACACACACACACACACACACACACGTGTTCATATGCATCCACACACATGCATTTAAAAAAGAAAGAATATCACTTTTAACAAATGATACTAAAACAATTGGATCTTCACATGATGGATTTGAATATTTGTCTTATAGCATAAAGAGAAACTCAACAGTCTTAAACTAAAGTGCAGAAACAACAAACCTCTTAGAATGAAACACAGGAGTAAACCTGTGAGGCCTTGGAACAGCTTAAGCAAAGTTCATAAAAGAAAAAAGCTGGATCAATTTTTACCTCATCAAAATACACAAAGTCTGCACTTCAACATATAGAAGGAAGAAAATGAAAAGACAAAGAGACTGGGAACATTTTCAAAACTCTTATTTAAAAAGAACCTGTGCCCAGGTTCTTTGAAAGAACACATACCCTGGCATCCTTACTCAGCAGATAAAACCCATTTAAGATATTTAAAGTGTCTGAACAGAAATTTCACCCCCTCCTTTCTTCCCCACCACCACACAAAACCAAGTCGATGGCTCCTAAGCATGTGGAGAGATGGCAGTGTCACCAGTCATAAAGGAAAGGTAGATTAAAACCACAGTGGGATGCTGTTATACTCACTACAATGGTTATACTGAAAAAAAAAAGTCAGCAAATCTTGGCATGGAGATGGAGGAATGGGAACCACTGTATGTGCTGGAGGGACTGTCTATACTGCAGCCATTTTAAAAATAATTTGGCAACTCCTTACAAAGTGAAATATACATTTCATGTCACCTAGGAATTTTAAGCATTTACCCAAGAGAAATAAAAACAAAAAATCATATACAAATGTCTACAGTAGTTTTATTCACAACAGTCAAAATGAGAATAGCAAAATGCCCACCAATAAATCAGTAGATGGACAACGTGTGGTGCATGCACACAATGAAATGTTATTGACCTATGCAGTATATCCACACAATGAAATGTTAGTAACAGTAAAAAGGAACATTCTGTGAGCTGGACATCTGTCATACCGAAAGAATCCAGCCACAAGAGACCAAATCACATATGATTCTATTGAGAGGAAATAGCCAGAAAATGCCAATCTATAGAAACAGTACATTTGTGGCTGCCAAGGGCCAGAAGAGGGGTGTGGACAGAGATTAATAGTGAGTATGAGGGATCTACATAGGCTTCATGGGGATGATTGTACAAGTTGGTAAATTTTACAAAAAGTCCACTTTTTGTACTGTTCACTTTGGAAGAAAGAAACAAGGCTGTTAGAATATGCTAATGACTAGCTGTGTGATCTCAGACACAGCTAACTTCTTGACTAAGTTTCCATTCACTAAGATTGGGAAAAAATAAGAGGTCACTAAATGCAAAGCCACAGCAGGACAATCGCTATGGTGTATGGATTGAGTTCATAGCACAGCTTTGGCTACAGGAAGACCTTGGTAGGCGTTAGTTCTACTGAGTCTATTAAGACCTAATGCTAATTTAACTCAGTTCAGACCTGGAGAAGGATTTGGACTGCACTGTGTAGAGAACATGTCTAGCCTTGTGGAAACTATTCCTGGATCCTGAAGTCTACATGTGCACATGGCGTTCCACAGCAAGCTTTGGCTTGGAGCATCAGAGTGTCCAGGACAAGGCTGTTGCCTCATGGCAGCATTAGTAATGGAGGCGCCACCTTGAAGCCTATAACGTGGAAGCAACTGGCTATTTCCACAAAGGTCCATCAGGTGTTTAGGTCACAACCACTATCATCCGGGGCCAGGCAATTTGGTGGCACGGAAGAGGGCCATCTCTCCCCGTCTATGAGGTATTGAAATGTTAACTTCATGAGACAAGAAAATCCCGAAGCTGTATAGATGAAGGGGTAAGGAAGGTTACCCAGGCAAGGGCTATCACTTGAGCAAACCCCCAGAAACAGCCCGGAGCTTGCTGACTTGAAGGTAGTGTTGCTATGGAGAGCAGGAGAAAAGGAAACAAGGGGCAGGGTCCCCAGAGAAGTTTCACGTGTCACAATGAAGCTTTTACTTGAGACAAGTAATGAAGAGTTCAGAGCAGGCAGTAGGACAAGCTCAGGGGTCCTCACTTAGCCCTAAAGGCGCCTGTGAGTCCTGAATCCTAGATGTTGTGGCCTGGGGTACGCATTCAGCCTCAAGTGCAGCTGTTCCTTGCTTGTGCCCAGCTGAAAATCTACCTCCCCCTACCCTGTGAAGAGAATAAAAGGCGTGAAGTGGTGGTGGTTGAGAGTCTGTGTGTGGGGCTGGACCTCAGAAAAGGAGAGGGCTTGTAAATGTTTCATAAACTTCACTCTGGGCTCCTGCCCTGGCTGAGAGCCCATTAATAAGCCCAGGCTGCAGAGGGGCAGGTGCTGTGCTGGTTTCTATAGCATCGCCCCGGGAAGGGACTGACAACACTGTGGCAAGCTGAGGGAGGCAGGAGGGGCTGGAGCTGGCCTCAGATGCTGCTGCTGCTGCTGCTGCTGCTGCTACTGCTGGTCTCAGGGCCCCTTATTCACATGAGCACACTTTAGCTTCTCCAGCAGCAGCCAGAGAGACAGGCTGTGCTGAGTCTGAGCGTGCCTGCCTGAGACAGCAGGCTGCTTGCTGTTCAGCCTGTTAGCTGTTGCAAGGGGCTGGATTCCAAACCAGCACCCCCCCACCCCAACCCCAGCCTTGTTTATTCTGGAGCAAGAAGAGAGGGTTTTCTCTTCTTGGAACACCTGGGCTGGGTTTACCTTCTTCTTGATTTTAAGTAGTTTTCCCCCCATGAGAACTGAATTTCGAGTGTTCCTCAAGGGCAAACACAGTGCCCCTGAGCTGGAGATGAGCGACGACGACAGCTCCTGAGGCTGTCTGCTAAGGGCTCCGAGGTCCCTCACCCCACTCAAAATGCCATTTAAAGCATTTGATACCTTCAAAGAGAAAATTCTGAAACCTGGGAAGGAAGGAGTGAAGAATGCCGTAGGAGATTCGCTGGGGATCTTACAAAGGTAAACTCTGAACTCAAACTTCAGGTTTATTTCTGAGTATCCTCATTCTGCCAACGTCTGAGGTATTTTGAATCGTGTTTCTAAAAGTGCATTTTAATGGGAAGGGGTGGGTGGGCCAGGTTAGGTGGTTTCTGGAGTTTCTTCTAGAGCCAAGTTTATACCTGGAGACAAAAAGATGCATCAAAAAGTCCTGGGTCTTGCCTAGCATGCAGAAGTTCTGGTTTCAATCCTCAACACCAGGATGAGGGTGGGAGTATTAGCTCACATTAGGAAAATACCAAGACAAGCACTCTGTTTATTTGGTAAGACTAGAACTCATGCTCGTGGTACTGTTATACATGCTATGCTCGTCTCCGAATCAGAAAGAATTTTTGGAGGCTGTATTTCATGTCAGTTCAGTAGTAATGACATAGTTGGGCTTTGAACTGAAATAACTTGAGATATTCACTACAATAGTCAAATATTTGCCGTAGATTTTTTTCTTCTGCTTTTAAAGATAAAATACACAATACAAAGTATATTGACGTGGTTTTCATGAGGTCATCCTCAAAAAGGAGAGTGGTCTCAAGGTAGTTCGAAAATGGTAACTTAAATTATTAGAAAATCATGTGTAGGGACAGCAGGAAAATCTAAAGACTGTCAGTGAATTCAAAGAGATTTCAGTCCATGCCCAAAATAAATATTTTAATGTAAAATATATTCCTAGTAGCAGGAGAATTTGCCATGTATGAATGACCTGGTGTCACATTTTAATTTGTTCATGTTTAAGACAATAGTAAACATCTTCTCGGGTTTTTGTGGACAAATTAATCAGTAGCCCGTATGTGCATAGTGACATGATTATTTTATTGCTCTATCTGGGAAATGTGAATAATATCCTTGATAAACTTTTTGTGTATTTGAATGATTATTTCTAATCCTAGCGTGAAAAATGTGATTTGGCTTTTTCTTTTAACATAAATGTCAAAGCTTTAGTGCTTATGAAGGCTACTTCTTGTTAGTCTGGACAATGCCTGAGATTCTTCCCATCTCTCATATTTTATGCCCTCTGTTCCTCCTGGTGCTGCATTTTTAATTGTGCCACTCCACATCAGGGTTCATCCCAGAAGGGGATGGGATCAGCAACTTTCTTACTTTAGTAATTAAAAACAAAAAGGCTTCCCTCTGAGATGCCGGATCATCATGTACTGATGATAACATATGAAACAGCCAAATATAGACAATGATTATAATATTTTTTTAAATGAGTGTTTCATCCCTCTGCGTGATCTCTCTCCAGGTAGCATCTTATTATTGTGGTGGCACTCACATGATTATAAATGTGAAAAGAAAGCACACAGTGTAATGGGCTTATCTGAGGAATAACAAAGAAGTCTGGCAGGGTCAGGGATGGAAACCCTGGCTTTGGACCAGGGTCACCACTGTAGTCACACCCTCTACTGAGTTTGTGAAGACTTGACAAAAAGTACGCAGTCATCAGAAATGGTAACTTTGAACCTCAGCTAAGCTCTTATCAACCCTTTCCTCCCATGATTCCTTTCTTTCCAAGAGTAGCATGTGTTCAGATTTTGTCCTCAATTATTATACATTGGATTTCACCGAAACAAATAAAGGGTGTATGTTTCCTGTCTTATTATAAACATATTTAATCTTAAGCAACTTTCCACTGGTTGCTTTTTATTTGAAAATTTATCATTTTTTTTTTAAAAATAGGAAATGTCGATCCTAAGAGCTATTTCTACACTTCGGCTGGGTGATGTGCATGAAGAGAACTTTGTGTACCAAGTCAGGTGGTTCAGGTTCATAACCGTGTTAGTAACTTCCAAGTTATATAGCCTAAACATGAAATGGAACTGTGGATCTGAGGCTCTTTACACCAGCACCTGGAGCAGTGGTTCTCAACCTTCCTGCTGCTGCAACCCTTTAATACAGTTCCTCATGTGGTGGAGAACCCAGCCATAAAATTATTTCATTGCTGCTTCATAACTGTAATTTTGTTACTGTTATGAATCATAATGTAAATATCCAATATGCTACCCCCAAAGGGCTTGTGATCCACAGGTTGAGAACTGCTGGTCTGGAAACTTGTCCCATAGAACAGCTAGCATAATGTTAGGACAGTGTCATTGCTGACATAATATGGGATGACTTTAGAATAAACAAACCAGTGATTCGTGTGTTCATTGGTAGACCTTAGGTGGAAATGGCTGGCATGGAAAAGAAGGAAAGGCAATACCTGAACAGAAATCTAGCGGAGATCTTTGAGTAGGAATTATCCAGACTAGCTCTACCACAAGTCTATAAGATGATTGTATGGCATACAGAGGTTATTTCCTCCTTTTCTTGTTGCTTTTCACATAAAACCAGGTGATAGCATCTAAGCTTAACAATAAAACAAAGCATGAACTATTTTCTGTTTGCAAGGAAGGGCATTGGGAAGGCAGAAGCCCCACTGTTAACTCTGCAGGGGAAGGGAGTTATAGGCACAGTCGTGTCATAATATTTAAGATGGGGAATACCATCTCAATGGAATTATTGACATGTTTTAAAATCATGGACTGCTCCTCCTGGTTAGGGGAGTGGTTGCCAGGCAGGGAAGCCTTTGAGAATTCACTCATGGGGTTGATTACAGGCAGGAATCATTAGCCCTTCCTGGAGAAGAAGCAGCTGAATTGCTCAGCTGAAGGCACAATAATAGTTTTGAAGTGTGGAGTGAACAAAGATGCCTGCTCTTATAGTGGCACCTTGGAGTGTGTAGTTGTCACAGAAGGCACTGAACTTGGAATGCATGTCCCAAAATTAGCATGCAAATTTGTTCAGCTTCAGTGACAATGAAGACATCCCATGGTTGCTCATCTATAAAAATGTAATAATTATGGAAAGTGCATATCATATTCCAGCCACTGTAATTTATTTAATACTATTAAAAAATAATCCATGAAGAGGGACTACTATAATTGCAATTTTACAGATGAAGAAATCAAGACACAGAGAGGTTGAGTGAGTTGTCTGAGGGCACACAGCTTCCAGGTAGTGCAGCTTGGGCTTCAAAGCATAAGTCCGAGCCAAATTCTTTTTGCCACCTTATTTTTCTTATTTTTACTTTTGGTTTTTTGAGACAGGGTTTCTCTGTGTAGACCTAGCTGTCCTGGAACTAGCTCTTGTATACCAGGCTGGCCTTGAACTCACAGAGATCCAGCTGCCTCTGCCTCCTGAGTACTGGAATTAAAGCTGTGTGCTACTACCGACACCTTATTTTTAATTAACACATAATAATTGTGCATATTCACAGACGATAGTATGATGACTCAATGCATTTACAATGTAATATTCACATCAAGATAAATAGCATTGTTATCTCAAGCATCCAACATTCTTTGCATTAGGAGAACTTCTTTTGTATTTTATGGGATAGATAATAAGTTACTAACAACTATGGTCACCTCCTTTGCTGTCCTCCCATGCCACCTTCTTTCTCTTCCCTTCCTAGACTCTGATGACCAATATTCTACACTTTGCTTCTGTGACATCACCTGTGTGTGTGTTTGAATGTATGTGTGTGTGTGCATGTGTGAATATATGAGTGTGTGTGAATGTGTGAGTGTATGCATTCATGTGTGTGTATGTGTGTGTGTGTGTGTTTGTGTGTGTATGTGAGTGTATGTATGAGTGTGTGTGAATGTGTGAGTGTATATATGAGTGTGTGTGAATGTGTGAGTGTATATATGAGTGTGTGTGTGTATGTGTGTGTGTGTGCACTCACCCATGCTAGTGTTGCATTTGTATAGTAAATGGATGGGCTACACATGGACTTACTGTCTCACCAACAAAGAACTGTGTTAAAGATGCTCTGAGATTGAGTGAGCCTAGATCCCAACTGTTTTGACATCCTTTATCTTCATGACCTTAGGCTACACCAGGTGGCTCTATTAAGCCATGTCAGATCACACCTCCCCAATGCTCACAATGTCTCTCCAAATTCTACTTCATTCCCCATTTTCTTCTCAGTCTACTCTACTATACAGGTCTCTGACACTTCTGCCCTGGCTTTTATACACACTGTTCCCAGGGAGAGCCATCCTACCTCTCCTGCCTTGCACCGTCCACTTCGCTGTCCCTCTTGCTTCATTTTATTTTTACCTCAGTTGGGCAGGCCTCTCTAAAAGCAGGGCGTGAGTCAGGGAGTTTAGGTATAATTCATGGAAAGAGAGCTTGTCCATAAAAACTGTGGTGGAGGAAGTAGGGCAGGGTAGGGAAGGAGAAAGGGCCAAGCTAAGCTGTAGTCTCAGGCAATGGGCAGAGGGTGGAGGGGTTGGAAGTGAAGGGTGGGGTGTGGGGGGCCTGGGAATGTAACCAGCACCTTGTGCTTTGTTTGTTGTACAAGTTAGTCAGTGGCTGTGGGCTGCCTCAGCAGGGGTGGAGGCCACTTCCCTATGGCAGTTTTAGAAGGAAGGAGCTCCAATTTCTTAGCAGTCCTGAAAGCAGGGTAGTAGGCAACTGCTCCAGGCTTGTGCTGGCCTGGTGGTCCTGCGTATGGACTGCACGACTCAGATCTGCTTGTTTCTCTCAAGAAGACCACTCCGTGCACTTTCGTCTGCTCCATGCTCTTTATCCCTGGAGAATCTTCCAGAGAAGTTACCAGAACAAACCCTAGTTCCCAGGCTGGCCTCGAACTTGTGATCCTCCTGCCTCCACCACCTTCAGCAAATCCTACCAGTGTGCGCCACCACAACTGATACCTTGGGCCTGACTTTGGTGGCTGCCCTCTCCTCTTCAATCCTCCCTTCTATTGTCTCCTCTGGGAAAGTTGACCCTGACCTTCAGCCCTAAGGGATCTGAAGGCAGGTTAATATTTCCTTTCTTGGTCCTGGTCAACGAACCTGCCCATTTGCAGTTCAGACTAGACTAAGCAGCATCAGGAGATGCCTCAGTAGGTGACTGGGTGCCACATATTTCTTCTTTCATGATGAAGACCACAGTCCCAATCTCTTCTGAGGACT